ATATTTTCCCCATTTCTAAGGGAGGAGCAGATCATCAGCTACAGGCCAAATGAAATTTGGAGAATCAAGAGCTAATCGTGAAGTGATTCAATGAGACAGTCCCGACAAAAAGTAACAAATTCTAGGTCCTGACCAAAACCCAGCTAGAAGCCAAAAAATGCGTATTTATATGTCAGTGATTACGTAGAAGTAACTTCGAGCCAAAATAGCAAAATGCTATAAAAATCATAAACCCACATGTATATCATCCATTTCTGCAGTGGAATCAGTATCAGGATCGCAGTCACCTCGCGATGCAGCTACTACTCGAATGTGTTGACGGAGTAGCTCATCAAAGGAGTAAATGCGAACGCTGTCTATAATCCGGGTCCTCTCCTTAGCCGATATCCTTTTCAGTTTCCGCGCTGCTTGTTGACGCATTTCAGATATTAAATGCATCTGACTTGCCATTGCTTCCTCTTTAGTGAAACATGAAGAATCTGGCGGGACGGGGTCTTTCTGTTAATTAAGAAACGCATTTGTGGTAGATTAGTTTCACTAGTAAAATAGCTACACTCACCGAGAAAGCCGATTGTTTGGATGTTCTCAAGTGCCATGCATCTGCCGCTAATGATCGTACTACAAAAAATTAAATAAAAGTACATTGCACGCGGTATATTCTAGAACAACACTTAAATGACCAGTTTCATCAGAACAACTAAAATTATGGAGCAGTGCTTTGAACGAATATGAAACAGTGCAGCGCTAACCGAATGGTCGAAAAGACCGAAAGGCATATAAATAAAGAGTACGGAAGAGGCACCTAACGAGCTTCGACATAATTTCAGGGAGAGAGGCAAATTTAGACGAGCCTCAAGCTCCTCAATCTCGTCGAGTAACTTTGTGGTATCCAACGAAGTCTCAGCGACTTCGGAATTGAAATCTAAGTGACGCCGATCCTCCATAGGGTCTTAGAGAAATGACTGAAACCATTAATTACACCGCGGACTACAAAGACACATCCCTCCAGCTCTTCCATTGACCAATAACGGTGTAGCAGCTTCATCATTTTAAAGCCAATAAAGAGCAGGCATCTTTAAAATAATCAACAAAGAATGCTACACTACAGCGGCAGAAAAAATTTTGAATGACAAAAGAATTGAGTTTTACCAGAGTTTTTAACAATGCTTTTTGACAGACTTAATACTTGTTGTGCGGCTCGAACACAGAAG